CTTATTCATTGCAAGTTGAACAATTAAAGGGGCTTTTAAGTTTTACCAAGGAGTAGTTAGTTAAAAATGTATATAATCTAGTTTATAAAACATTAAACTTACTAGAAAATTATTGAAGCTATGTGACTGTAAAGTCGATTTACATAAGATTTTGAAACCAAGGTGTAAAAATTAAAATAAAACATTTGAGTATTTTTTTTTTCGAACTTAAGTTCCAAATAATAAGACATTAAAATAATTATCAAATAAAGAAAAATTGTAAGTAAGAGTATTTTGGATGTAAATTTTATGGATAAGAACTTTTTCTCTATCGGTTAAAAGATATTGATGACTTAATGGATTTAAGGTATAAGACGGATATTGAAATCTCATGTTAAACCATTGAGGACAATATGAAAAACATATAGCCCTCTGTCTTCAATAATTCAGAAGAGAAAAAAAAAATAGATCGATCGCACGATCAATATATTTTTGTGCCAGATGACAAAGCAGATAACATAACACGTGTTGCTTTTGTTTGTAAGGCTGATTTTTTTTTTACAATTGCATTTTTGAGGAATAAAATTAATTCTACAAGTGGTAATCGAACTTTAAAAATTAGTCCCCTTTGTAAGGAGGAGAATTCTTTTCAGACATGTCACGTCAAATTGAAATGAGTTTCAATATAAATCTGTAATCATAAAATAGAGATATATGATATGTGTCAACATACAAATCATGATCTTTACTTGAAATGTAATGCTGTGAAATATTCCTTTAAAACAAATCGAAAACTCCAATATTGACTCTGATGATACAAGTTTCTTAAAATAGAAACACGTCAGACGCTGTAGAAGGAACGATGTTTTTGTATATTCATATAATTGGGTTTTTCATCTGAGTTACTACAAATATTTCTGTAGAGAACACCCTAAGAACCTAGACGTAAATAAAAAAAATTAAAAATTAAACTGTTGATCTTTCTTATCGTTTAAAACCAAGGAAGTGGGAATAGTGAATCATCTACCTACTTAAACCATGCCCACCCCTTTTAAATACACAGATAAAAAGCATTAAATATAATTTTAAATACAAAATATTCATGTACCGGTGTATGTTGAATTGGTTACAAAGGAATTTCATATGTAGTGACATATTTTTTTGCCCATATGCAAAATAAATAATGTCAAATTATGGCAGGAAAAATATGTCAACATGCACGAAAAATATGTTTACATTCAAGAAAAATTATGTTAGCATGTAAGTAGTCAATCTTTTTAGAGAATATAATTTTAATATGGGTAAATTCACTAACGCCAGTAATCGACATCATACCTTCCAGATGATATATTATTTATCAACACTTATACCAAACGAGATGTTCAAATAAGTCGTCAAAAAATTCATTTCATCATCTTATTTTAGTTTTTTTGAAAATTTGTGTAATTATGATAACGAAACTTTTTATGCGTAAAAGTCTTTCGATAAAAATCACTCTGTGATTTAAAATTTGTATTGTAAAAATAATTTCGCTGCATAAAATTTATACTGAATTGTTTGTCGATACGATATATCCTGGTGAACTTGAGATAGTCTGACACATCTCTTACATATTTGGATAAATTACTTGAAAAAGACTTAATAGTAATCTTACAACCAAGCCGTATGACAAACGTGATGACTTTAAATTTTCAATCGCCAATTTCCCTTACTTATGCAGCAATATCATCACCTGTATACGGAATAATTTATATATCTCAGTTCATTCGATACGTAAAAGAATGCCCTACGTATGAACAATTTCCAAAACGAGGTAAATTATTGACAAACAAGTTGATGAAACAAGAATATCAGCAGTCTCGTTTAAAGTCATAATTTCTTAAGTATTATGGTAGATACAATGACCTTATCAGCAAATTCAATTTATCATTGAGTCAAATGCTGACTGAAGTTTTCATACTAATTGCTGGTCCATTATTTATACACTGATTTCCCCCCGTTATTTCCCGATCATGACAAGGAGCACACGGCGTGTGTGACCGGTCGGCAAAGTTGTACAAGCCAAGGAAATGATATATTTGCTAAAGTATGAAATCGCAATTTTAACCAAACTTGTTGAAATTCCTGAAACATCAACTTATTTGTTATTTGCCAGTTCTTGTTCAAAATATGATCGTACTCAGAGTACTCAGAGGATGTACTTGAGTATTGAATGAGTTTGGAGACATTAACATCATAAGCAAAGTGGAATCGGATTAATGTTATTTCAAAATAAGGAACGTGATTGATTGATTGTACATACTGTTTTAAAATCTCGTTCAAGATTTTTTTACTCATATAGTCGTCACAAAATATCAGAGAAGGATTTCAAATTTAGAACTATACCCAAAGTCAATGAGCAGCGAGGGTTTTGTTTACTATACCAACGCCTACCGTGACAGGGAACTCGGATTTATAAATTAAGCTACATTTCCTTTTTTAATTTTAAAAAAACATATATATTTTGTTATATAACTATAACTTTAAAAATTTTAGGCATGCTGCCGTATCTAAAACACGACGGTTCATAAAAATCATTCAGGTGAGGTGCCCGAATGAACATACATGGAATACAGAATCTTTTTCAAGGTTTATTAAAGATGTTATCCGAGATACTATGAGCAAAACATTTATATTGGGGGAAAAATCTTCAAATCAATTCATTGCTCCGAAATACAATTATAGTTAGTTTAAAAATGAATTGCTGAAAGAAATAGATATAGATTACTTGTTCGTTAAAAAAGGAAATCGGAAAGGGAAAGTATTTAACTTGTTCTGAAAACATCACTAAATAAATTTTATTTTGCTTCCATGTAGTTCGAAAAAAAACAAGAAACCACCCATGCATGATGTGACCATGTAAATTAGACAAAGATAAAAGCAAGCAAAATCCTTCGTTAAAAATGAATGGAAATATGTAGAAACTTCGTGACTCTTAATAAAATTATTAACTCTAAATGAATGTAAATGATGCGATTTTAAAAACATCGACGACTCCAAATAAAAAAATAATATGTATATGTATCAGAATTTTACAATTGGAATTCTCCTTTAAAAAACTAACATTCATATAACATACAGCTCCGCGCACTTTTTGAACTCGCATGGTTTTTTTTTAACATATTAACGTCACATAAATACGAGTATTGTGCAAAATTGTGTTACGACAACAAAATATATTTTAAAAGTGATTTATAACTTAAAATTTTATTTCACCAACTTAAAATATAAATCACACATAATAATTGGTAGGAGTATGATATACTCTTGGCTCATTAGATTATTACAGTTACAAAATGGTTCTTTCATAGTTCCTCGTCAAATGCAGTCATCTTTGTATCCACTGTTTGTAAAGCAGTCCTTTGTCTTGCATAGCCACTGAAACAGAGCAGCTTATGTAACATCTGCATTTTCTGTTCATTACCATTACTCTATAATAGCGCAAGGTGGCATATAACGGTATAATTCATCTATATTACTGCTTACCATGTAAAAAAAAGCTTGCATTTTTATTATGCGCCCGGGCGTATATTGTTTTTGTCCTGTCTGTCTGTCTGTCAGTCTGTTTTTCTGTTTGTCTGCAAACTTTAACCTTCGCCATAACTTTTGAACTATGAATGGTAAAGACTTCATATTTGGTATGCATAATCCACTAATTAAGCTCTTGCAAACTACATCAAGGTCAATGACCTTGGGACCTCGACTGTGACCTATATGCTAAAAATAGTTTTTTTCTGAAAACTTTAATCCTCTCCGTAACTTTTGAACCATAAAAGATAGAGACTTTATATTTGGTATGCATACACCACTGATTAAGCTCTTATAAATGACACCATGGTCAATGGCCTGGTGACTGTGACTGTGACCTATACGCTAAATGTAGCTTTTTTGTTGGCAAACTTTAATCTTCGCCATAACTTTTAAACAAAGAAAGATAGAGACTTAACTTTTGGCATGTATACTCCACTGATTAAGCCCTTTTACATGTACGAAGGTCAATGACCTTGTGACCTTCACTGTGTCCTATATGCTAAAAATAGCTTTTTTGAACCTTCACCATAACTTTTGAACCATTAGAGATAGAGACTTCATATTTGGTATGTATACTTCACTAATCAAGTTCTTTTAAAAGACACCAAGATCAATGACCTTGCCTTGACGTATATGCTAAAATATGTTTTTAAGTCTATTGTCGCCGGGCGCATAATGTTTCACAAACACATCTTGTTTTCAGGGTTACTATCTAAAATCTAGCATCATGAAAGATACGTCCCACGGCAAAAATTCAAAGTTTCAGACCGTAAATGTAAAATAATTTTCTTTTCAATAGTTACAATTTACTTTCTAAAAAGGTAAACAATACTTCATTATCCTATCTTTTGGCTTGATTTTTTTCAGCAGCATTGTCGTCTTTCGGCGCTACATTTCGTCGAAACCACATGACGAGCATTGAAAATGTGCAAAGTACTCAGAAAAATACTCATCTTTAAGAAGTCACTTTAAAAATTTCAACTTAGTACATGTAGTAACAAGGAAAGCTTGATTAATTTAATGAATAAAATACATATGGTAGGATAATACAGATTTAACATTGTACCACATATTAATAAAGTCCCCTTTAAAACATATATTGAAATTGAAACTTTAAGATAATGAATTTGAAGAAGATGTACCTTTGATATGAGATTTTAATTAAATATAGGGGATATGTCTTTTACTGAAGCTCGATAATGTTCAGTTTTATTGCAAGAAGAATGTGACCTTAATTTGCGCAAAAAAAAAGTAAGCTTAATGTGAACATCGCCAAAAACTGTGACATTTAAAGAGAAGACATATATACAGTGTATACACAATGACCTTGAAACTCAGTGGTTTTTAAAGGTTCTTCTAAATATACGTATGTCTATGTAAGGTATATTTTTAAATAGTTTACACATACTTAACACAGTTCCGTATTTTCCAATGTTATTTACTTTAAAGTAGCCTGCGTTTGATCATGGAATGCTTCAAAAATCGCTTATGTCAATGGATAAGCATTGAATTAGCGGCATTGACAATATTCATATTTTGTATAATTCTTCAGATGTAAGTATAAATCTATAGTGGAAATGTATTCTCCATTAAATCACTGATTATAATATTTCTATTTTCTCTTTGTTCTTATAAATATGAACCTTTATGTCTTCATTCCTTATCTGTCATTTTTTCATAAGATCTTCGAGAAGCATAACTGTATTGATTGAATCAAAACTATAATTTTGTGAGTTGCCCTCTCCTGATTTGTATTGTTTGAATGAACTTCAGCTTGAATACTATTCGTTAGTTCTTTTTCTTCATAAATATTTCGCTGCATACTGTTTTCAATCTATTCTCTTTGTAAAGAATAAAATGAAAATACATGAATGTCATCTGAGAGATCTCTTGATATTTTCGTTTCAGAATCAGCGGTTCCAAGTTCAGTATTAATGATATAGTGTTTGTGACAGTGGTGTTGGTTGTCTGTATAACTATACTTATTCTGACCGTGTACTTTTTTGTAAATCCTGGAACAAGTAAAGACGTAAGCAATACATTGATATACCAAGGTCAAAAGTATTGACCCAACTTTGAATTGTTTTGACTTAAAACTGTTACCTTTTATTCAAATAAATTGATAAAAGTTGTTTCAATTTTAACTCCAGAAACAGAAATTGATCGTTACAGAGGAAAAGGATATCTGCAGGAAGCTTAGACCCTTACATGGAATGATTGGTATAACTTTGGGAATAATTCATTACAACAATGTTTTAACTATGATATATAGTTCAAACAAACTACAATAAAGAAAACAAATGGAAATGGAAATATTTATTCTTTATAAATAATATTTTATTTTTTATATATCTCAATAAAAATGTGTTTTAATATATTTATATGTATCCCCTTAGATTCTGATTGCTCGATTTGTCTCGCAACGATGCAATCTTCTTCTCTAGTACAACTCAGCTGTACACACGGTAAGACTGTGTTAAGCAACCAAACATATATATCAAGGTTGATTTCTTTTTTATAAAACTGATATAAACAATGATATTTTCTTAAAACATAACGTTTCACTGAAAGATAAGGATTGTAATTAATATTATTAATTAATATTCTAAATTATTGAACTTACCATCAATTTTATTAAAGCAATTATTCATAGATTATCATAAAAATTGTGTCAAAGAATGGTTCATCACTTCCGGTGATTTTCGATGCCCACAGTGTCGTGAAGAATGCCAGGACTTTTCTTCCTGTGAAAATGAAACCGAAACTGCTTTACACATTGTTTAAAATTAATGATACTGGACTTTTCTTTATACAAGAATTGAATGCAATTGATTTTTGATCTCTTGACTGCTCAGTTTATGTTGTGATTAACGTTTGTTGTATATTTCTCTGTATATTTTAGGAGACAGTATATAGTAGACTTTCATCGATATGAGTAAGTTTTTATAGTGATACGGTGATTAGAGTCTGCCTTCTGATTACACAAGTTAGGCAGCGGGAAGCCCTGATAACCGCTTCACGTTACTACATGTACGTATAAGACGGGAATTAAGATACTAACTTAATTTTTGGAGAGAGAGAGAGAGAGAGAGAGAGAGAGAGAGAGAGAGAGAGAGAGAGAGAGAGAGAGAGAGAGAGAGAGAGAGAGAGATACTATGTACATACATTCATTTTAGATCTGTTTTGTTTGTAAACAGGATAGTGAATAATTTTTGTTGTTAACATCCTATCCTAAGTATATCTTTGTTTTAATGTATTTACTATATATATATTTGTTAATTTTATACTCAGGAATCGTTGTTTTACTCCGTTAAAGTTCTTTCAAGTAGAAAAAACTTGTCTTATTCAAACGATTAATGGTTATTTATTGATTTATATACATGAACAAAGTATGTCTCCAGTTATATTTTATTGTATTTATAATATTTTACAGAAAGTAGTTAATCTTGATATTAATGATATTTTTATTGTGCCTGTCAAATAAAAACACCATTATTTCACTAATAAGGAATAACCAAAAATTAGTTTCCATGACTTGTCTATATCATAGTTTTACTGTAAAAATTTTGTCAGTTTATGTAAAAAAAAAAACAATAATTAGAACTTGAACAAAAGTTTTTATCTATTATAATGGTTCCTGTGCAAGGGTTTCTCAAATTATAGCGACGAATGCATCATTGCTGAAATACGCTAATTACAGATTAGTGTTTCTTGTCATTTACTATAATCATTAACTATAGAACATACATTGATATTTAAACAGTATTTTGTTATGATATAAATATACATATATATATATATATATATATATATATATATATATATATATATATATATATATATATAGAAGTGATTAGAAATTTGCCAACAATTACAATGAATTGAAAAGAATTGAAAAGAACCAGACGATACCATCATTGCAGTAGGAGAAAATATAACAAGTAGTTGCATATGTATGTATCAAATCTAGAAATAGAGATGTATGTATGTGTTGACAATAAAGTGATTTTTTTTTCGATTTTTATTACAAAATTCACAAAACAAAATGAGTGTTAGTTACAGATATTGTTTCAATAGGAAACTTATCTTCAAAGCCCCAAATTCATATATTGTAGTTTTTGAAAATAAGTTTTCTATCTTTTTATTTGTGCACATCAAAACATTCTGTATGTCATATTTTAAAAATCATTTGAATAAAATAAAATTTAAAAAAGGTCTGTAACTATGAAGAAACCCTGCCCCTGGAAATTAATAATGGAACAAATAAGTGAGCGATTTACACTTGCATTAACCTGATGATGTTTATAGAATTGTCAGTCAAGTTAAATTAATAATAATTATAGACATCTGTTTCAAGTTCCCGAGGGGAGAAACTCAGTGGTCAGTGTCACAGAATTGACTTTCGATAATTAAAGTTAATATTCAAATGTGTTAATAAATTCACAAATAATCATCTGTTATTAGCCACAACATTTTTGGCAAACATTGAACATATCAATTTCATGAAAAGAAAACTTTACTACAAAACTTTTTCACAAAATTAAAACTGTTACATCCGATAAATGAAACCTGCACCAACTGTTCCTTTGTTTCCTGCGGTTACAGCTGACACTGGAAATAAGGTAGCAGACGTCCTCACACATTATGGAAAATTAATTTTATCATTGCTCCTATTTCTATCCATATTAATTGACTTTGAAGCATTTTGAAGCATTCCATGGTAAGCTATAGCTCGTCAAGTACGTTATGGTTGATTTCACAAAATAAATGCACGTAAACTGTACCTTACTTTTCTTTTCAGTGACCTTTCAAGGTCACAATAATATATATATATATATATATATATATATATATATATATATATATATATATATATATATATATATATATATATATATATATATATATATATATATCTTCTTTCCAAAACATTTAAAGGTACTTGGACACAGATTTGAAGTCAATATTTTCTCTATAATATTACGACTTATATATTTTAATAGCATTTCACACAAAAATTAATTAAAAATCTTACTTCATTTAAAAGTTATTAAAATTTTAAATTTTTTGGCGGGTTTGATTGACACATCCTTGCACTTTCACAAATTTTAACTTTATTCTTAATCCTTAGGAAAAGTGGCAGTCTTGTTGTGTATTAATGAAAAATATTAATATTATAATCCAGAAAATTCAGAGTAGACATGTTAGAAAGCAAAACAAACACACAATATATTGACAGTCCGTGCAGTTGTGGTGAGCAGACTTTGGCATTTGAACGCACCCGGTGAATCGTAAACATTAAACAATAACAGAGCTTTATGTTCTTATTCGTTTCCACTCAAACGAACATAAATAATTTATAAAATAAATAACAACACGTATATAGGTAGGTACAGAAGCGCTCTCGTAAGTGCAGTTTAATTACACACAATAATACAAATACAACTTTACTTTTCCGCAACTCTTAAATCTACAAAACAAAAACGTATAATTAATAAAACAAACATGATACTTGTGAGGGTGGGTGGGCGGGGCAATGTCTGACTGCACTGAGAAAGAGCCTTCGAATGGCATTTAAATTTTACACACGCTAAAGCGTGCGTGCTTTAACAGAATACCTGTGGAACAGGTATTCTATAAATATTTTAACCAATCAGACCGACACTCTTCATATACACTAGATTAACACGTGTCCGATTGATACACGTGTTATGATAACTTCAATAAATACATTTATGTTCTTATTCGTTTCCACTCAAACGAACATAAATAATTTATAAAATAAATAACAACACGTATATAGGTAGGTACAGAAGCGCTCTCGTAAGTGCAGTTTAATTACACACAATAATACAAATACAACTTTACTTTTCCGCAACTCTTAAATCTACAAAACAAAAACGTATAATTAATAAAACAAACATGATACTTGTGAGGGTGGGTGAGCGGGGCAATGTCTGACTGCACTGAGAAAGAGCCTTCGAATGGCATTTAAATTTTACACACGCTAAAGCGTGCGTGCTTTAACAGAATACCTGTGGAACAGGTATTCTATAAATACTTTAACCAATCAGACCGACACTCTTCATATACACTAGATTAACACGTGTCCGATTGATACACGTGTTATGATAACTTCAATAAATACATTTATGTTCTTATTCGTTTCCACTCAAACGAACATAAATAATTTATAAAATAAATAACAACACGTATATAGGTAGGTACAGAAGCGCTCTCGTAAGTGCAGTTTCGACCATAAAGAAAGAAAAGAGATAAAGATTATAAACCCAACTGTTTTATCAATACAGAACGTTTTGATTGTACATTTTCGTGTTCATAACTTTGCATTTTACGACTTCCATGCTTCATGTTTCCTAAGAAGACGATCACTGACACTGGCTGCAGCAGTATCACCACCCGACCTCAAACTATTTTCCCAACATTTTATAAAATTTTATAAAAAAAACATCCAAGTTGCATATTAACCGGACGAGTATCAGAATTCGTACGTGATCATATACACAAAAGGCGCCTTGCTTTTAAAAATCAGTTTTTATCTTTGCAATGAATAACTTAGGATGAAATTCATAAAAAGAAATATGCGACCTTAGAAATAATATCAACAATTTTAGAAAAACGTTAAAACCTATATATCCTTATGGAAAATACAAGTACACAATTCATTACATATAATGATTCATTATTTCGACAACACTTTTTTCACTTACAGCTTATAAAATTAAAAGGTTTCTTTTGACATTGTTCTCTTCTAGATCTCTTTTATACAACCTTCTTATACGAGCTTGTCAGAGTCGGATAATCCCGACACATTGTGGACTCAGGATACCCCATGAGTAGCTTCAAAAAAAAAAACTTGAAAGATAAGTCAAATACATTGTGACACAGACATCACTTACAAAATTGTTGAAGGCATACCTGTACATCGTTTTGTATTTCATGCTTTTGGTTTCAGGTAGTAGTTGGGTAAGGGCTCCGCAAAATGATGGAGCCTAAGTGCTGTTAAACAAAGATGTTCACCCACCAACCAAAAACAATTCTGCAAAACGTACACAGTAAATAAATTCAAAACAAGAATGTTAATACAAGACAACAGTGTAAATCTGCGTGTATCAGGGCCTTGTCACTGCAATACACAACTTGATGAACTCTGTTTGATAAACATGAATTGAATTTCCAAAGCTGAGAAAAACAACATTCAAACATCTGCAGTACAATAATGTTCCAGGGTCATTAACAATGGCTTTATTGTATATGTTTTGAAAACTTGCGACATCTGCAATACATTAGTGTACTAGGGCCTTAAACAGTGACTTTATATTAATATATTTCGAATTATTCATTTTGAAAACATTAATTTTCGACATCTGCAGTACAAAAGTGTACCAGGGCCTTTAACAGTGAATTTACTTTTCTACCATTGTATTATTCACTTTGAAAATTTTGAATTTTCTACATCTGCAGTACAAATGTGTACCAGGGCCTTAAACAGTGAATTCATTTCATACAGTTTTATTATTCATTTTGAAAATTTTAATTTTCGACATCTGCAGTACAAATGTGTACCAGGGCCTTAAACAGTGAATTCATTTCATACCATTGTATTATTCATTTTGAAAACTTTAATTTTCGACATCTGCAGTACAAATGTGTACCAGGGCCTTAAACAGTGAAATCATTTTATATCATAGTATTGTTCATTTTGAAAACTTTTATTTTCGACGTCTGCAGTACAAAAGTGTACCAGGGCCTTAAACACTGATTCATTTTAAACCATTATAGTATTCATTTTGAGAATTTTAATTTTCGACGTCTGCAGTACAAATGTGTACCAGGGCCTTAAACAGTGAATCCATTTCATACCATTGTTTTATTCATTTTGAAAACTTTAATTTTCGACATCTGCAGTACAAATGTGTACCAAGGCCTTAAACAGTGATTCATTTTACACCATTGTATTATTCATTTTGAAATCTTTAATTTTCGACATCTGCAATACAAATGTGTACCAGGGCCTTAAACAGTGATTCATTTTACATCATTGTATTATTCATTTTGAAATCTTAAATTTTCGACATCTGCTGTACAAAAGTGTACCAGGGCCTTTAACAGTGAATTTACTTTTCTACCATTGTATTATTCACTTTGAAAATTTTGAATTTTCTACATCTGCAGTACAAATGTGTACCAGGGCCTTAAACAGTGATTCATTTTGAATCATCGTATTATTCATTTTGAAATCTTTAATTTTCGACATCTGCTGTACAAAAGTGTACCAGGGCCTATAACAGTGAATTCATTTTAAACCATTGTATTTTTTATTTTGAAAATATTAATTTTCGACATCTGCAGTACAATGGTGTACCAGGGCTTTTAAAAGTGAATTCATTTTATATCATTGTATCCTTCATTTTGAAACTTTAATTGTCGACGTCTGCTGTACAAAATGTACATGTACCAGGGCATTAAACATTAACTACTTTATAATATTTTATATTTAAAAACTTCTCTTTTTTTTTTAAATATGCAGAACAATAGTGTATCAGGGCCTGAAACAATGGCTTTATTTA